CGATTCCTGGAAAGTTTGGCTGCATTTGCTCGTATGGTGTGGAAATGGATAACGAACAAACAGACAAACAGACAAACAGATAAACAGACAAACAGACAAACATTCTTCTTTATATATATAGATAAATGTAAAAAGATGAAATGAGAAAAAACGATTTTATCTTGTACGAAAAAAAAATATCGTTTTTGCACAGTTAAAATTTGACTATTTTGAAAGCAAAAAGTGCAGCTAGAAAAAAAAGCAGTCCAATGTAAATTGTAGAGCTTTTCACGTTGCATCTTGTGATATATTTTTTTTTTTTTAATGCAATATATTAAGTGAATGAAAAACGTCGCCATTCAACCTGGTGTACCCATTATTTAATCTAAAAAAATTTCGAAAGAAAAATATATCTTCATAAAATGGCATTTGACATGATACTCACTTTGTTTTTATTTAACTAGTATGATATAAAAAACTATTGTTAACATGAATTCTAAACATAGTGTGACATTGTCATTATAATTAATGAGTTTGATTTCTTTCTGATATTATCGACATTAAGATTCAATTATTGATAATATTTCGAAAAAAAGATGTTCACTCAAGATATGAGTTAAATCAAAAGTGCTAGGTTGATATAAACTAGTTTACAAATATTAGCTTTCATATAATATTATTAATTACTAAGATAATATAATTATCAAAAGAAAAACTGACATGAAACCAATACATGTATGTAAGTAAAGCTTGTTTTTTTTTCCTTTAGTGAAAAACGACTGACATCAGAATTTGTTGGTCCTATTTGTATTCTTCCATCAACATATGATAATTATGGTGCTGATTATAGTGATTCAAATCTATTATGTTTATCTTGTTCACCATATCCAATAGTTGTATTTACATGTGATATATGTCAAATAAATGAATGTATTGTTCTTAATCCATCAATTGATCAATATTATTGATGTACAATTAATTCAATTAATTTACCAATAAATGAAAATAATTCAAAAATAAAATTAATGATTATTGATGAACTTAAGGGGGTAGCCTCCCTCAACATACCCTCAAAATTTGTCAGTTTGTAGGGTTAGATCCCAAGGGTCTAGGGTTAAAATATTTCGCGGATTGGATGTTCTTTGGCTGAGTTATAAAATTTTCAAAAATTGAAAAAATCGTTTTTTCCAGCTATTTTGATGTCAGCGAAAAAAGTAGTTCTTACCTCGTCCCCTACTCTTATGAAGCCTTAGAGAAAAATTTTGTCTTTCAAGACTTGTTCTCCAGATTCGTCGCTACCGGATGACATATTTTCCTTTTAGAAAAAAAAGTCGTTTTCGTGACGTTTGGGACTCCAAAATGTGTCTGAAATGGGATCCACTAAACACCAAAAAATTTAGTTTTCATGATACATTAAGTTATATAAATTTGGATCATCAGTTTTCAACGAAGCTTTGTGTGTACAACAGGGCTCGGAACGGGCCACTTATTTGTGGCCCGGCCCGTCCCAAAGCGGCCGGAAAGTTTTGCAGACCCGCCCAGCCCAACTCGTAATGGCTACGGCCCGGTCCAGGCCCAACGCAAAATTCTTTTTAAGAAACATTTTATCCAGAGTTGATCTTAAAGATCAACATAATGCTTCGAAAGAAAATTTTGTATAGTATACCATAGATTAATTTATGAATTTAATGACATCAGATCATTGAAATGAGAACATAAAGATAAATTAATAAGTACAACGACCTTAAGAAAATATATCAATAGATTGTGCATATTAAAAAGCTGTTGGTTTACTGTGCTGTCTAATAATATTTCGATAGAAATGGGTATAACAAAATTTTTTGATCATTACTCGATCTGATGACACTTATAAAATTTTATAGACGAAAAAATTAGAATTTTCTCGGCCAGCCCGGCCCGTTGGGCTAAGTTGGCTGGCCCGCCCGACCCGACCAAAAAATTCCTTCGGGCCGGGCGGCCCGTTTCGAGCCCTGGTGTACAAGTGGGTACCTTTGAGGTATCTTTCCACAAAATTTCAAAGGTCTAGCACATTCAATTCAAGAGTTAGCAAATAGCATACATAAACCACATTTACTATAGTATGCTTTCAATAGGACCTGCACCACTGTTGATTCAATAACTTTTGATAGGAACATCGTAGAGACCGGCGCTTTTCACCATTCGCGAGCCAATTCCTAGAGCTATCCAATAGCACTAGAATCCAATTGGTCATTTGTTGACCAATCAAGTATTTTTTTCACAGAACGTTGAAAATATGCATTTTTGACACTTTTTGATTCGGATATTCACTTAGAACATCGCAAGTCCGTACGAAACACGAGTTCTCTGGTAACTAGTATGGATTTGCGATGTTCTAAATAGAAATCCGAATCAAAAAGTGTCAAAAATGCATATTTTCAACTTTCTGTGAAAAAAATACTTGATTGGTCAACAAATGAC